AGGCAGGCCTAAGGAGATTTCAGAGTCCCAAAACTTCCCTCTTTTTGCTGCTTTCTTAAAGTCCCTTAATAATCAAGGATCACTTGAGAGAAAAATAGACTTAGAGAAAACAGATTTTAAAATGTAAATACTAAGACAATTCTACACTTCAGAATGCTTTACGACAGCTTACAACATTTTCACATGCGACTCAATTTCACAATCATTTTGAGGTAAATAACAGTGCCAACAACAAAACTACTATTTATTACTTACAAGCCTTACAAAATTTTATTATTTAATTCAACTGTTATGGTTGGTGTTATAACCACTTACTAATGTAAGACACGGCAACATCTGAATCCAATTCTACCTAATTTTAAAACTTATGTTCTTTAAATCTCTACACAATGGCAAGATGTGGAGGCAAAGGCTTGAGTTTCAGCACCATAATGGAAAGAGCTGTGTGCTGAAATACTTGGGAAGTCACTCAATTCTCTTTACTTTGCATCTATAAAATGGGAAGATTAGAATCTGTCCTCACCTATTTCAGAGTACAGTTGTTGATCTTTGAACAACTTGGGGGTTGGAGTACCTACCCTCCAAGAAGTCAAAATCTACTTATAACTTTACAGGTGGGTCCTCCACATCTGGGGTTGGCATCTGTGGATTCAACCTATTGCAATAAAACTACAGTACCTATTTATTGAAAAAAAATCTGCCTACATGTGGACTCTCGAAGTTTAAACCCATGTATTTCAAGGGCCAATTATAACTGTAAAGATCAAAATAAGATAAAGGACATAAAAGGTGTTCATAAACTCTTTAAAAAACTACACAAATATAAATTATCCTCATCCTTACTGACATTGATAGAAAAGAGTGAAGAGAGGAAAGAAAACGATACAGTATAGGGATAAGAAGCGGGAAAGATACTGGTTTTTCTTTTGTTTGGCTTTTATTTCCTTATTAAAGCAAGTTGAAGACCCTTAGGAGAAACTTCAGATTTCAAAATTTACCTGTGATCTTACTGTCAATTGGGCTGTAATAAAAGAATCTGTGCCACAAATTATTGTTACTTTTCTAAAAATACACACACATACAAGTATATACTTGTATCTTACACAGATATGGGGGTTAATAAAAATGTAATAGCTGACTTACTTTTAAAAGTTTAGTTCTCGTAAGAATCAGTGACCATTATACTAGGTCACCATAGTTAAAATTCCCTTGCAAACAGCCTTCCTGTTCTTTTCTACTGTATCATTTTCAACCTGTGGTGCTTACGTCTTTCATTCTACAAATACAGATCCTAAATAAATAAATGTGACCACTTAAAATGAGCCTGATTTAAAAAGGGAAAAATTTTATTATTCAAAACTTCACAACTTAAGGTTTATTTTTAATAGCATTTACAGCAAATGAGTGAGAGAAGTAAAGTTGAAGTGAAATCACTCAATTGTTGCGAGGTATGTCAGATATTAAAAAAAGGAATGTATTCAAGCCTAAATTACCAATCATGAAATGTCAGCTCACTGAAAAGGTTCAATAACAGAGTTCAGAAAAGTCACAGTACTCACCTCTCTTTCATACCAAAAACAGCCCAACTATTTTTATTCCTTCCACATTACATTCACAAAAAGCATTTTCAGCAAAGCAAGTTATTATAACAACTTACATTTTAATAAAAAAAAACTATTCTCATTTTCAATGAGAAAATACCGAAAAATCATGGACTCTGGTAAAGCATTTCTATAATGTACATACATTTCTGACTACATACAATATTTAATCTACATTTAAACCTACATGTAAACTCAACAGTCTGTCAGGCCTAGCTTTCATACATGAAATTATGTGCTAATACATCAATACTGAAATTCAAGACAGTGATTTGCACACTAGTTGCCAGGTTTTTTGTGTAAATGTCAAACAATAGGTCCACTAAGCAGCTTCTGAATCTAACTCAATTTATTCATTCACACCAGAATTTATCATGTGTCTCTAAGCACTGGTTCTCACCTAGGCGCAATCCAGCAGTGTCTGGAAACATTTCTGGTTGTTACAACAGGAGAGGGTGGGGATTACCAGAAAGAGGTGCTACTGGCCTCTAGTTAGTAGAGGCCAAGAATGATGCTAAACATGTTACAAAACACAGGACAGCTCCCATAATTAAGGATTATCCACCTCAAAATGTCAATACTGCACAAGTTGAGAAACTCTGAGCTATCGAAGTTTATAAATACCCATCTGTCTAAAAATAGTACTCACTTCTCCTTTGTTTACCTATTATTTGCCAATTCTATTCTTTACATACTAGTCTCTGGCACAAATTTACCATGTTCCCATCTTTTCAATCAACTTCTAACTTCCAAACTTGTCAATAAAACCAATTTCAAAATCTTCTTTGATTCATCCTTATTTTTAATAAGAGGAGGAGGAGTAATGGCCAGACCAAAACATATGCAGCCCTTACTACATGCCAAGCATATTCTAAGTGCCTTGCATACATTAACTCATTAATCTAGGTACTATTATTACCAGGTATTCTTATTATACTCATTTTACAAATGAAGAATCCAAGGCACAAAAACGTTAAATAACTTGACCAGGGTTACAGATAATAAGCAGTCAAGTCAGGTTTCAAATCCAGACAGAATGGCTCCAGAGTTCATAACCTTAAGTATTCCAAAGTCATCTCTCTTCTTTAATCCTCTATATCAGATCATAAAATCCTTAAGATCCACAAAGGACAGGGACCTTGTTATGGTCACAGCAGCATCCCCAGAGTCCAGTACATAATAGGTGCTCAAAAAACTTGTTTGTTGAATGAAGTATCTCTCAAACTCACCCCACCTGTTTTCATTGCCTCCACTCAAGGCCAAGTCTCTGAGCACCTCATACTTAGGTTTCTTTACATATCCTATTTACTAACCAATCAAGTGAAAGGATATAAACTCCTCTGCCACATTTTCAATAACTCAGTCCATAACCCAACGTAATCAAAGTCTTCTTCCTACTGCTTCTCAGTTAGAATCATAATATCTTAAGAGTCAGATGGTACCTTGGAGATCGTCTAATCTAACATTTAACAAGAAACCCAAGGACAGTAAGTGGCTAAATCACCCAGCCAGGTGAAGCCAGGATCAGCTCCTGCAATTTTTGTTCAAGGATTCACTCCTGGAAGATTTACTTCATTCATGACAGATGTCCGCCCACTATTTCATCAACAAAATAGGTTCATTTCAATTGTCCACACTTAAGTTGTTTCTCCTGCACAGCCTGCCCTTTTTCTTGCTCCATAGATCCAAATCCTATCCACCCTTCAAAATCTCTTCCTATTCCCTTCTTCATGACCTCCTCCTTCTCAGAAAATCTTAGGTCTTGAATAGAAACTAAAGGAAGAGGATCACCATTGCCTACAGCACCAAGTTTAATACATACTAACACCTTCCACAAAGCAAAGCTACGTGGATCATTTCTTCCCTGAAAACTACTTACCCATTCTTTCCTCCTGCAATGCAGGAAGTGATTTCAATAAAGACTAACTTATATGGCACCTTCATAAAATGTTCATATCTCTGGAAGAGGCTCACTCGCATCTTTAATAGTAGACATGTTAACACTTGAATGGCCCAAATCACCTATCTCTCTTCCATTAAGAAACTCAGCTTGTTCACAAAGTCCAACCCCAGATCTCTGATACAACTCACCATCTCTTTCTCTGCGTAAGACCATTTGTCTTCACTTCCTCCAAAACTCCATTTCTAAGGAACAGTTCACATTTCCTTCCTCTTCTTCGCTACACTATGCAGAAAAGAACAACCTTCTTTTCTATTATTTTCCTTATGCCTGTTCAGGGAAAGTCCAGTTTGCTGCCGCAGCCAACCTCAACTATCCAGTCCTTTATATGGAAGTCACATCTATTTCTTCAGCCTCCCTCAGATCTCAGGGTATCTCAACTCCATGAAGGTCAGTTTTTTCCCTTCTTCCTTTAGACAAGTGGCTTCAAAAGGTGTGGGTGCAGCTAAGACCAGTGCAAAAAAGTCCATTCTTTCCTGGACTGCAGGAAAGAATATATTAGAACTCTTGTTATATTTATTTTTTCATCTCATCCTTTCTTAAATTCTGCTTCTGTGTACATTTGTAAGCTACATATTAGTACAGTGGGACAAACATAAATTCTTGGAATATATGATCAAGATATACTAAAAATTGGAGTTGGAGACAACTTAAAAATACCTTGATATGAGGCCAAAGTAATAGGTTCCAGGCCATAGAGAGGATATGTTTGAATACATGCACACATGATAGGCAGAAAAACTCTTGTTCCTACCCAAAGTCCTCAGTACGCCCACCAACGTCAAACCCCTGCTAGCCATCTCAGAATTGAGTTCTACTCAAAAAGAGCAGAACAGAGGATGGTCTGGCAAAACCCTTCACTTCCACTTTGAAAGATTAAAAAAAATTCAAATGCTGAGTTACTATCCTTACCTTTCCCATAGAAGGGGACTTCAGGGCACTGTTCACTATCCTAACACCGCTCATTGCCTGGCTGGTACGTCTACTTCCCAGGCCACTACCTCCTGAGACTCAGTTCCTATTTCCCAATCCCTCAAGGCACAATTCACGGTCCCCTCGCTAACAACCGATTTATGCTAACACCTGGATTAAGCTCACACCTCCCTTCAGTCTCCTCTCCCCTAAGGATACCATGCACCGTCCCCCCGCAACCCCCGAGCCGCACAGTCGTGTCCAGTGTAGACGACAGTCCAAGATCCCTAAGACCACTTCTCTTTCCTCCTCCGCCCCCGGGAGCTGCCAGCCAGGCTGGAGACGGGAGGGGGGAGGGGTGTGACTCGCCTCCCGTGACTGGCCCAGATGGCAGCCGATTCCGCCCCCACTCTCGGGCACCCCTCCACCCGCTCGACCCCCTAGGGCTGCCTGTCTGCCTCCCACCCCGCCCCAACTCCACCTCCGGCCTCCCCCACGCCCTCACGCCGGCTCCCGGACACACTCACCATGCTGGGTGAAGATATTGAAGCCGGCCTCTGCGGTGCGCCCCACCAGGTCCCGCCTGCGACCGGAGGGCCTGGCTGCGCTGCTGCCCCGGATCCCGCGGGGTTGCGACTGCTGAAGCCCCGGAGCCTCCCCGACGCGGCCCACCTGCTGCCCCATCCCTGCGCTCGCTTACTCCCGCGCCCCCGACGACCCCTGGTCACATTCCTCCTCGGCTCCGGCCTCGGGGTCCAGGCGCTGCTCCGGCCTCTCCTTCCCAACCCAGGCCCCGGCCCTGAGCGGTCCGGCCGCCTGCGGCTCCGCACCCGACTTCTCACAGCAGGCGCCGCGCTGCCTCCCGACGCCTCACAGGTTCTCCTTTTCCCTTCCCATCCCGCGGCTCCGCGCCCCCAATGCTGCCGCCGCCGCCGCCGCCGCCATCTTTAAACCACCGAGCACTGGGAGAGCGTGGGACAGAGCGTCTCCTGCCCGCAACCCGACCAGTCATCTCCGCTACTCAGTGGGCGGGCTTCCCGGCGGCCCCGCCCCGCCCCGCCCCTCCCGCGCGCCCCCGCCTCCTCGCAGGGTGGGTCCACCCCCACCGCCACCCCCGGTACCCACCTTTTTGGCACGTCTATAGCTGCTTCAGGTCTTTCCGCCCTTCTGTTCTTTCGCTGCAACTCGGCCTCCCACGTCCGAATCCACCTTAGCCGACCCCTCCCAAGTTCGGTTCAACGCGCTTACTGCCTTTTGGGGGGGGGTCGGTCGGTTTAAAGGTTTCCCTGTCCCACCTCCACCTGTCAAATCAATCAGTTACCCTGAGCGCCCCAGGTGCACAATTCTTTAGCCGACTCAGCTGGGATGGAAAACACAAGAAGTTTGATGCTTGCCATCCAGGTGAGGCTGTCTAAAATACCCTGGAGGATTCCTTTAAACACCCGTGTCAGCAGCAGACATACAGTCAAAATTAAATGATATAAAATTTATGTGAACATAATAAAGTACATTATTTCATTGTAATTTTTTGAAATTATTTCATTGTAATTTTTTTGAAATTATTTCATGATGGGAAGTTGCACTCACCTTGGTTGTCTGTACTCTACAATCTCATTGGGGAAGCAGTTATAACCCGATTCCTCCTATTATATTATCATGAAGTCCTCTTGAACTTCCTTACCATCTAACAACGTATGTGTTTCTATTACCCTTACGTCGCTTGTCTGTAAAGCTAACCTTCACACCGGCATGCTTTATATACAGTGCACGTGGTCAGGTCTTCTTCTGATGACAAAGGAGAAAAATAAAATTACCTTTGACCCTGTTTCTGAGTCAGAACTTACTTATCTTTTGCTTAAATTGTCTAAAGAGAGTGACTCAGAAAAGAGAAATGTTTTTAAAGCGCAGGCATGCAGACATATATTTGTATATTCACTTATCTCCCCCTCACTGCACACTCTTGCATCTTAATATTCAGTTTTTTACATTCTTAAAAGTACTTGATAATTATTTTTAGCTATTCAATTAGCTTCCCTATGTCCTTTATTAAAAGTATCAGTTATTGGAGGTAACTTACTGAAAATTTGCTTGAAAGCAGAGTATAGGAATTATTGCAAAGACCAACAAAATAACTGGGAAGATAAGGTCCAGGGGGAAAGGTGGATGAGCTCTGCTTTGCATATCTTTCATAGAACAGGATTAAATATGAACCATTAACAATAAAAGCTCTATGAAATTATTCCATTGCCATCCAGGGTATCACCAGAAATAGCTGAAATTGCCCACCAAATGGTAAAAGAAACACTGTGCTTTAGCACTGGATACAATATGAATTTTTCATTTGGATCAAAGTTTTCCTGTGTTTAAATACTTTTTTTTCCTTTTAATTCCCAAAATGTTTGCAAAAAAAAAGAAATCACTGATAAGGGATAAAGGTGATCATAGAGCCAGAATGTGTTTTGTTGTTTGATTTTTATTATCTGAGAGAATGTCACTTGGAGATGGGTCTGTGTTCTCTGCTAATTCTTTAACAGTTTGCAATGGATGGGTATAATATAGTGCAGTGGTTAAGGACAGGCACTTAAGCCAGACTGCTTGAGTTCAAAACTGAGCTCTGATTACTTGTTAGCTTTTTGTTCTTAGACAAATATTTAACCTCTTTGTGCATTAGTTCATCTGTGATGTGATGGTAATAGCAATAGTACCTACCTTATAAGGCTGTTGTGAGAATTAAATTGGTTATTGTAAAATAAGGCACTTAAAACAGTATTTGGCATATAAAAAGCACTATTATTACAAAAAAAATGTAATGTTTTCAGAAGTTCATCAAATTTCCAGGCCTAATTTTTTCAAATGTTATATGCTTAGATCATGGGACAAATTCTACAGTATTTATTCAGGTGAGCCACCCACCGCCACCACCTGACACCTTGCATTTAACTAAAAACAAAAACACCAATCTATCAATAAAAACACATGGAATCATATATCACTTTATTAGGCATCCCTACCTGATCATCACCAGTACCTGCACATGCGAACTGCTATATGTGAAATACTACTTTTGTTTAGCATATGAAGATTCCTCTACCATAGATTCTTAAGATCCTGCCTAGACTTAGGCAAGGGCTTCCCAGGTGGCTCAGTGGTCAAGAATCTGCCCGTCAATAAAGGAGATGCATGAGATGCAGGTTCGATCCTTGGGTTGGGAAGATGCCGGTGGAGGAGTGGGCAACCCACTCCAGTATTCTTGCCTGGAGAATCCCATGGACAGAGGAGCTTAGCGGGCTATAGTCCATGGGATTGCAAAAAGTCATACACGATGGAGCACAAAACTAAGGCAAATATAAGAGATATTTTTCAAAGTGAAATGGGAATTTTCAGAATGGGGGTGAGGAGCAATAGACCAGGGAGAAACCTACTTACTTAGGTGTGGGACACTATTTCATCTCAATAAAATCAAGCCCAAGTGACTCACCTGAGAATTACACACTTGAAATAATTGAAACGCTTAAAACAATCCCAAGTAGTACTAGCTCAAGCTGAATTAAAGGCAGCTGTGAACTCCAGACAAGTGCAAAAGCCAGATGAAGACCAGGCAGGTACAGAAACAAGATGAAAAAAAAAAGTAGAGTGCATGGTGCACAGTAGCATAGGGACAGCCTCACCTGAGCAATGGCCAGGGCATGGCACGAAAAATCAAACCCACCATCATCAACAAGGCACACAGAAGACAAAGATACTCATCTTTACCTTCCCTGTAATAGAATACCGCAATTTTCAGAGGCAAGGAACGGGTAGGCAGTGCTTCACCGATCCCTGTCTTGACTGATATGGATTTCCAGGGTATTGCCAGTCTTACATTATCTCCCACATTAGTCCATATTGCTTTCTCTACAGTTGTATGAATATCTGGGTCATCTTTCTGCTGGATTCTCCTGCTACTAGCCTTTTCTTTTGAGATTCCTCACCTTTAGCACCAAACAATTCACTAAAACAAAAATACCTCTTCCTGTCATTGCTTTGACTGTGCTTTCCCTCCCCTTTATAATGTACAGGTCTAAAATTTTCACCTGATGTTTCAAAATTATTTCCCAGGATATCCTGGATTATAATTGCCTAATGTTCATCAGCTCCTGTTCCTCAAACCCTCACCCCTTCTATGGTAGGCATGTATATTTTATTCAATAAGCCTACTTTAGGATTTCTTCCCTTTTAGCTCTGATTTTTACAATGCTCAGGGTTTCCCTAATAGCTCAGTTGGTAAAGAATCTGCCTGCAATGCAGGATACCCCAGTTTGATCTCTGGGTTGGAAAGATCCCCTGGAGAAGTGATAGGCTACCCACCTTGGGTTTCCCTTGTGGCTCGGCTGGTAAAGAATCTGCCTGCAATGTGGGAGACCTGGTTTCAATCCCTGGGTTGAGGAGATCCCCTGGAGAAGAGGAAGGCTCTCCACTCTAGCATTCTGGCCTACATTCCCCATGGAATGTAAAGTCCATGGGGTCACAAAGAGCTGGACATGACTGAGTGACTTTCACTTCACTTTTGCAATACTCAGATTCTCCACAATATGGTACTGAAGTGACTCCCTTTGCAGTATTCAGGACTTGAATTTACAATCTCGAAAATCTACTTAGATCTTGCCTCCTTCTTAGGAAAATCCCAGACTTATCCATAGACACACAATAGTTTCACTGTACTCTACTCAGCCTAGACCTAAAACAGCCACAGCTGATAATGATTATTTGCCTGTAAAATTCAATTACCTTCCTCTACATTCCTCCAAGTGTTTCCCAAGTGGCGCTAGTGATAAAGAACCCGCCTGCCAGTGCAGGAGATGTGAGAGATGCAGGTTGTGAGTTCGATCCCTGGGTGGGGAAGATCCCCTGGAAGAGGGCATGGCAACCCACTCCAGTATTCTTGCCTGGAGAATCCCATGGCCAGAGGAGCCTGGCAGATTACCATCCTTAGGGTTGCACAGAGTCGGACACAACTGAAGTGATTTAGCACGCGTGCACGCATATCCCCCAAATGTGTTTAATTTTGACACATGGCTCAATGTCATAGGGTTGGAACGAACCTCAGAGATCATCTAGGATAATCTTCTGAAATTCCCGGTACAGTAAGTCCAGTGAGGGTGCCCATGTATTTCAAAGAATTCTAATTGTCAAAAAGTTCTTCCTAAAGATAAAATGATACATACCACCCTGAAATTTCCATCTGTTTCACCCCTAGTCCTAGTTCTACCCAGTAACTACACAGATTAAGTTTCATTTTTCTTCTGCATAACAGCCCTTCAAATATTTGGCAGCTGTCGTGTTTCTCGAAATGTTTTCTTTTACCTATATAATGCATATACTTGTATAGTTATATTAACCTCTGTCTATATAATCTACATGGATTCAAAATGTTTATGTAGATAAACTGGAAGAAAAATGTTATTTCATATGCAGCATTTTTCGTTTTTTTCAGCTTTATTGAGATTTAATTGACATACGACATTGTTTAAGGTGTACAGTGTGTTGATTTGATGCACATATATTGCAAAATGATTACACCATAGAGTTAGTTAATGCCTCCAGCAGGTGTATAATTACTATTTCTCTTTTTATATAATATTTATTTATTTATTTTTGGTTGCGCTGGGTCTTTGCTGCTGTGTGTGGGCTTTCTCTTTGCTGCG